CCAAAGCGCTTAGATTACAGGCATGAGCTACCAGTGCCTGGCCTACCAACTATTTTTGAAAGATTACAGTGATTATCCTTGAAGGTGGAACAGCTAAAGAGTTCCAAGCCTGCTCCTCCACCATAACTGGCTTGCTCCTTAAAGAAGATTCTTTTCAGAAGAAATAAAGACATAAAATACAAGTTTTGAAGAAATTTTTTTCAATACGGTATGGCCAAGTCAGGGAACACAAAACAGGATCAAGTCTCCAAGACGGATGAAAGGGGCAACTGGAAAACATGACCACTTTATAAGCTGAAGAGTGACAAACTGGAAATAACATCCCTTCCTGGCATTGATTCCAATGCCGGGCTGTCATATCATCTCTCTGTCCAGCAGTGTAATGAGAAAAAATTTAAAAATTCCAGTTCTTGAAATGCTCACCTTGTGGGCATGAGGTGATTGTAGTTATAAACTTTTACAAAAGACTTGATCTTTGATCGCTTGGCAATCTTCTTCTTGCCCATGGCAGCCGTCACTTTGCGGGGATAACGGTCAATTCCAGCCACCAGAGCATGGCTGTAGGGGCGGTCTGAGGTGCCATCATCTATGTTCTAAACAAGCAACAATTGATTATGTTACTCACTGAGGGCCTGTTTACACAAGTACAGAAAAAACACCCCCACCTCCAGCAGCCTGAGACCCACCACCACTGTAAAGAGAGAAAAATCACAATGCTATGCTAGATGCCCAAAGAGTTAACAAGATAGTGTTTATGTCCACTAGAAAAACTCTGGAAAGGCTTATGGGAGGTAAGAAATTTGAACGTAAGAATAGTTAACATTATGGAGTGTCTGCTTTGTGCCCAAGCTCTGTCCTTAGTACTTTACATTTATCAACGTCTCCAGAATTACACTTTTAGCAAAGAGCAGAGCCAGGACTCCAACTGCAGCCTATGTACAAAGACTAGTCTCAGGTAGGTGGGAGAAGTGGAACTAGAGGTACTCCCAAGTCTTCAGTACAGCAAAATCCACGGTGTATGTGGCTAGACTCTGGGGAAATCTCACAAGAGGCTCCAATAAAGTAGGTAGGATGCAAATCGTAAAGGGCCAGAATATAAGTGACCATGTTAACTAAAAACTATTTTCTTAAAAAGTCTCAGCTGCGGTATTTACTATCTGTTGACGTCAGGTAAATTAGTGAACACTTCTGAACCTTAGCAGTAGAAAGGAACCTCCCCATTATGGCTACAAAGATTGCTCACACCACCACCTGGAAGGCAGCGGTGGGCACCTAGGAAGCCTTCAGTGAGTATTGGTCATCATTACTTTTTTTTTTTTGAGACAGAGCCTCAAGCTGTCGCCCTGGGTAGAGTGCCGTGGCATCACAGCTCACAGCAACCTCCAACTCCTGGGGTCAAGCGAGTCTCCTGCCTCTGCCTCCCTAGTAGATGGGACCACAGGCGCCCGCCGCAACGCCCGACTATTTTTTGGTTGCAGCCGTCATTGTTATTTGGCAAGCCCGGGCTGGATTCGAACTCGCCACCTTAGGTGTATGTGGCTGGCGCCTTAGCCACTTGAGCCACAGATGCCGAGCCCATCATTATTTTTTAACAGTTAATACGTTAGGTGTCTAATTCAATTCATTTTTGTTTCTATTCTGCATCTTCCTCTCTCAATGCTTTCCTGCACGAATGCATTCAACATTCTCCGCCCCCTTGCTCTTGGCTACTGCCCCAGAAAGAGGTTCTGCATTTCAAGCCTGTCCTGCCCGCCCGCCGCCCGCCACAGCCGGCCTGGTCCCGGGACATAGGGCCAGAGAAATCCACGAGGCTTGTACCTTCACGATGACGGCTTTGCGTCCGGAGTAGCGTCCGGCCAGGACCAGCACCACTTTCCCAGGTTTCATGAATTTGCCCATTTCTGCAGAAAGCAAGAAGGGGCCGCTTAGAAATCTATTGAGTCAAAATTTCCTGAGCCGACTCCGGCCTGCAAGTCCAAGGCTTGGGCCCGGGACTTCAAGTCTGTGCTTCCTACCGTCTTGGCCCAGGCCACCTGCGGGTTCTGCTCATAGGACAAGATCTAGTACGGAGCTGCCAGAGACCCAGGAACGGAACATACCCGGCGCCGCCCTGGCCCTCGATCCCCAGACCGCGGATGGCGGCGGATTGGCGGACCCACAGCAAGATAACACTCACCGACAGCAACCACCAAGGCCTACAGCAGAAAGAAGGAAGAGCACTTCCGCTAACCTTTCACCCGGGGATTGGTGATCTCACTTCCGGTCCCGCCCCTCAGGTCTCGCCGCGCTACTTGAGTGGTGTTCGTTGTCTTGAGTAGCAGGAGAAAGAAGTTCCAAGGGGAAGGCGGAGTGGGCCGCTTATTTATTTGAATTAAACTTTATTAGCAGCGCCAGCAGACCAGAGCAAAGGAGTCTTGTCTCTGGCATGTAGAAGGATGAGCAGCGGCACGTTCACTGTTTAGATTTAGTAGATTTGTTTTGTTGTAGTTCCCTTCTCTGGCGCAGGGAGGGAGACAGTTTGAAGTTTCCGAACTTGCCATAGTGCACTTAGTTGGCAGCAGTATGCTAACAACTTAGTAAGGTTTCATAAGCTTGGTATGTCATATCTCACAGCTGTGTTCATGTGAACATGTGGCGGTGTTTTGTTGGGTGGCGTTCATTGTTGCGTGTTTTTGTGTTCTGGCAAGAAGGCTGGAGCTTGAATTAGAGCAACGAACAAAGATTTAATTTCTTGTTTTTTTTTTTTTTTT